TTGTAAACAATACTGCACGTGAAATTTCACGCATTGTTAAATGATAGATATATCTGAAGGGTGTTTTTTCTATAAAAAATTTTTTTAACTTTTTTAGTTTTTATAAATAAATTTTATTAAAAAGTTATATTAATTACGGTAATTAAAGCGCGAATTTAGTTTAGATATGTTTGTAGCAGAGGGGCAAAAGGACAAACTTTCTTTGTGCTTAGAAAATGAATAACACTTCACATTTGGCAGGATTTTCAATTTTTGTAAACATTCTAACCATGATAAAATAGTAATAAGCTTGCCATTATTGAAACTCTACACTGCTAACACATCAGAAAGCAAATTAACTGTCATCAATTCAAGGTCAATTTGCATGATCAATTTTTTCTGGATGCCCCCTCACAGTAAGTTCTGCCTAAAAAGCTGATTACGTACCAAAATTGGGTAAAACGTTATTTTTCAAATAAAACTATATATGTCAAGTTATGGAAACCAATAAATTCAATAAAACAAATTTAAAGGAATTTATATATTCAATAAGGAACTTGTGTAATTTTTTGCTTTTTGATTTCACCACATAAATTTGGTTAAAGTATATTTTTGTTGTGGCAACATATTCAACAGTCAGTAACTACACCTGAGGATGGCCTATTCCATGAGGCTGAAAACGTTAGTGTTTAATGTTTCATTGTCAGTAACTACATTATGGGGATCTTATAAATATCAGTTTGAGAAAATCTCATTATTGGCTAAATTTCAATACTTTACCATTTTATTAGTTATTCATTCACTTGATTTTATTTTTAATATAAATATGTGTATATTAGTATCAAACAGATTTATGTAAAGGTGAGTTCAAATGAAACCTGTTTGAGATGTGTAAACATTGGGTGAGAGAGAATGGAAAAGATGAAATAGAAATAGTGGTATGTATTAAGCTTCATTAAATACTATGTTTATTAGAAGTTACCCATGCATTTAGACAGTCATTGTTCACAGACAGAATTCATTGTTAACCCAAAGATTTCAATAGTTCAGGATTGGTTCAAGTAGCAATGTCCTTTCCATCCTCATTGGTGTCAGATCTTTGTCCCTCTAGAAATTTCTTTAATAATCTAAAAATATTCTACATATAGCAAGATTTGTCAAATCTTGACTATATGTAGACTCCCACTTCTACAGGCTAATGAATCAATAATCTTGGTGATGTGCAATCCTGCATTGTCATTGTGAATGATGACTCTTAAAGACAGCATGCTAGGTCACTTGAAAGCTGTGTGCAGAATATTGTGTGTTTGGTCCTTAAACTCCAGTAAGATGAGTTCCTGTATGTTGAAGAATGTAGGGATCCATCTTACTAGTGTCTTTCTGGCTGACTGCTGTATTTTTAATTTTTGGGTTGGATGAGCTGGCACACTGATACCACTTTCCTATGAAGTGACACCACATTTTGTCCTCTGCCACTGTGGTATAGGAATTGCACCCTCTGTTGCAAGCTGACATCCACCTGCTATTCCTTGTGTTCAATCATCATGCAGGGTACTATTGGCAACACTTTCCAGTACTCAGGGTTTTTAGGAGACAATCTTCTGTATAGTACCAATGGAAATGTCAAATTCACAAATACTTTTGTCAACAGTTTGCCTTGATAGCAGTCAATGGATGCAGACTATTGATCACAACTTTGTGTGCTTGACTAAGACACTGCAAATCTGCCATTTCCTCTGATGGCTCCACTGGCTTCCATCCCTTGGCTGATGTGGTTAGAAATCTATCCAAGCAGGTAATTCAGTTTTTAACAGTTATCTTCAATGCCAAGTGTCTAGACATGAAGCCAGTGGAAAATTTGAAAACACTGCATCATGACATAGTTCCACTTAGCACTTGCATTCCAAACCTCAACTGTCAACTTATCATGTATCACTCTAAACAAATTTCATAGTATTTATTTATACATACATATATATAAATAAATGCATGTAATTAAAAAAAGAAGGTATATATATATACTTTAAAAATTTCATGCAAATAACCCACATCATTGCACAATTCACACAGATTATCTGCTGATTTTAGAAAACATGAAAAATCCTTTAAGTGCATAGATTGTCTTAATTTTTTGAAGTGCTGAAGAAATTTATAAACATGCCTATCTTTAGTTTCTCTCATTTGTTTTTGTGCATTAAGTCAAGCTTTAATTGATATTAGACATTACTTAGTTTTTAAAACAAGTTCTCTGGGAGAATTATTAGAAACTTCATGGTTTTGTACAGAAGTTGAACTGCCAAATAAATTTAATGGTGACCTTCATTTACTATCAATAAATTTGATAATCAAATAAACTTTAAAAAAATGTATAGTCGATCCCCATAACACTGTTGATTTTTCTGTTTTATATGAATTCCATATTTTATGAGTCACTTAATTTTACAAATACAGTAGAGCGTCGATTATCCGAATCAATTGGGGACTGGGGTTGTTCGGAAGATCGATGTTTCAGATAACCGATTGCACACGAAAAAATATATTAATTTATCCCATTTTGACATTTTTCTCTGTTGCGTGTTGCTTCGCGTTGAATTTTCGTTGATGTTAAGCCTAACGAAGACTATTGTATCGTTAAAAATTATTTTTTAATTTTGTATGAACAATACAGAACCTCGATTATCCGGACTAATTGGGGATGAAGGTAGTCCGGATAATCGAAACAAATACTTTAATTTGTCTTTTAATGATAGTACATCACGTTTTCTTTTCGATGACATATAAAAGTAAATATTGTATTTAAACCGTGATCAAATTGTCAAGAAACAAATGTTTGTATTGAATTTGGCTACTACTGACCAAAGCTAACAGACTACCTATTGTTTAAAAGGCCCTCTGGTGGCGCAAGAAGACGAATTTTATAAAATAAAAAGCAGTTGAAACTGCATTTTTATGAATAAAAATTTGATAAACTATTTATCGTTTTATGACGAGTAAAATTTTTTCGTCGCGTTCGCGGCTTTTAAGTAATGCATAAACCTTCGAGGCGCGAGGCCCTTCGGACCGCGAGGCATAGGCGGTGGCCCACGTCGTCCATGCCTTACGCCGCCCTTGGTCATAGAAATGATGTAATTTGAATATAAATTATTTATAAATACGTATGTCAAGTTATATTTTTATTATGACGTAAAATATGTTTAAGAGTTTATGATCAGTGGGTGAGACGTTGTTGAAACAAAAAAGTTATGCATTCCATCACGTACATAAACAGTGTCGTAATTCGCCAAGTGCAAATCAGCAAATTCGTAAAATTTTTGTTTATTTTGAACAATCCGGATAATGGAGGTTCTACTGTATATTGAAAAATATAAAAACAATAAAAAATTATACTTCAGAAGTTAATTTAGTATCAAAACGTAAAATATTTGAGTAGCCCAAGACTGCAGCGCCACAGCACTGGCGAAAATTTAAATTTGCCGACGAATTCTTTCGGATGATTGACTTTCGGATAATCGATGCTCTACTGTATATGTGCCGGGCTGTGAATGGCTTTGTAAAATTTATGTCTTTGCACATATTTGTAAAATCTAAGTGACTTGTACAGCATAGAATTAATATAAAATGGAAAAATCAAGTGTTATGGGGGGGTCGACTGTACATAGTTATTTTTATTGCTAAGAAAGCAGACAACATGTTTGTGGAATTTATAACAGTAGAAATTTAATTTGTCATAATCTTTCAAATAAAATAGAGGAACTTCTCAAAAATGATCTCTAAGTGACCATCCATTAATTACATATATTATCAATAACAAAACTGACTCAAAAGTTGTATATTACTATACAGGTGATTGGCTTTTGCAAAATGAAATTTATAGAAAACTCCAAATATTTTTGAAAATATAATAGAAAACAAGATTCATTTAATAGGTCTCTCTCCTTTCCAGAGTACCAACATCTGAAAGATTAGTAAGATGGAAGTATGTGATGATCTATTTGCTCATAAATTCTCTAGGATGCATTCTGTCGTCCACTGCTTTAAATATTATTGACAGAAGAACAGTAAGTAGTGACTATGTAATAATTAAACTACATTATTGAATATATTAACTTTTATTTGTTTTCAGGGAGGCATTCTGAATTTTAGTCAGCAACAGCTGAGAGAGATACTTGGTATTTCAGAAAATATGGAAAATGAACAGTCAGAGGAAAATTATGAAGAAGCAGCAGAAGATAATGGTCCTCTAATTCAGAAAGCTAATAATATCATCAGTTAATTTTGGTTTGAATTTTTTTATATAAAAAACACACAAATTTGTATAGAAAATTTTTATTTAATCACACTTGGAGAAAGCAATCATCTTCACTCTGTAAAAAAAATTAAAAGAATATAAAAATAAAAGATGTGTTTATAGATTTTTTAAAAATATGTTTTATTAAAAAGACAATTACCCAACATTCTATACTGTATTATCTCAACCTTCTAGCTTCTCTTTCAGATTCCAGCAAAGTGAGAATATCACCTTCTCTCACCGGACCTTTGACGTTCCTGATGATCGAACGGTTCGACTCATCTAAAAACTCAACTCTCACCTATATAAGTTAAACAATATTTATAGGTCAATGATATGCTTTAAAATTTCAGAGTATTTAAAATTTAACTTAAAAATTTAATGAAGCTACAACAGAATCTCAATATAAAGGGGGCTGAAATTCATATTTCCAAATGAAGATAACTCCTTCTTGCCTTGACCAGAAGGCAGCTGACAGGAAGCTTATAAAAATGTATGTCCCATTTCTGTTGTGAATATTATGGTTTACTCAGTTGAGAAAGTTTATTTGAGAGGCTACAAGAAAGTTCAGCACAACAGAACATTGAGTAATACAAAATACCTATTACCAACCTGTTATAAATTTATTAATTTTGTTACTTTTGTGTTACACAATCAAAATTTTTTCAATTTTTATGATAATAATTAAAACAATGATTTAAATTACATTTATTTTTGGATTTTGAAACAGATTTTTGCAATTTAATTCTCTTAACCTGAAAATGTTTGTTTTCCTTCAACATTTTGTTTTATGAGCTAGAGTTTTGGTTTTTGTAAGCAATTTTTATAAAGCTAATTGTTTTAAAATAGTAGATTAGTTCATTAACACCTACCCTCAAACTGATGATGTGAAGAATAAATCTGAGGAATTCATAAAGAATTAAACACAGTATTTCAAAACAATTTTTTTTATATTAGTAGTTTGCTCAAATTTATCATTTTGCTTAACTAACACAGCATTTTTGTCAAAGTGTTTCATCAATTGGCATATTTAAATTTTATACTAGGAACTCGCTCCAATATACAAGATAATAAAAATATTATGGCTTTATCCTTATTATTAAGTTCTAATACAGGGTTGGCAACTAAGTAATTGCGGATTTTAAGTAAGAAGGAAAATTCAAAATTTTTGCTTAAAAATATAACTTTATTCAATTAGGTATTGTCCATTTTCGTCAATGACCTCTTGCCATCTTTCAGGCAGTGTCATAGTTCCATGTTCATAAAACTTCTGATTTTTGCCAGCAAAAAACTGAGTTAAGTGTGTTTTTACATCATCAGCATCATTAAGAATTTTACCATTTAAGGAGTTCTGCATGGAACGAAATAAATGGTAATCTGAAGGCGCAAGGTCAGGGCTATACGGTGGATGTGACAACACATCCCAACCTAGCTCCAATAATTTTTGGCGGGTGACCAAAGATGTGTGGAGCTTTGCATTAGCATGCTGGAAAACAACACCTTTACGATTTGCCAATTCTGGCCTCTTTTCTTGAACTGCATTGCTTAGTTTGGCAAGTTGTTGAATGTACACATTTGAATTAATCGTTTGGTTTCTTGGTAAAAGGTTCAAAGTACAGAATTCCCTTATAATCTTTTTTGGTGAATCTCAGCTTTTGGTGTCGTCTGGACTGGTTCATCTCGCATCACCCACGATCTTTTATGATTAACGTTATAAACTATCAACTTTTCGTCGCCAGTAATCAGTCGTTTCAGAAATGGATCAATCTTGTTGCGTTTCAGAAGCGAATCGCAGATGCTAATGCATTGCGTCAAATGAATTTCCTTAAGCTGATGAGGAACCCATAAATCCAGTTTCTTGACATAGCCAAGCTGTTTCAATTTTTTTTTAATGCATGTATGTGATACATTGAGCTTCTGTGCAATCTCACGAGTTGTGCTATGATGATCTGAATCGATAATTGCCTTGATATGGGTCTCATCAACTTCAACTGGACGGCCAGATTGTTGAGCATTTTTCAGTGAAAAATCACCAGAACGAAATTTGGCAAACCAATTTTGACACTGCCTTTCTTTCAAGGCTTCATTCCCATATACCGCACATAACTTCTTGTGTGTTTGTGATGCGTTTTTGCCTTTTTGGAAATAATACAATAAAATATGTCTGAAATGCACGTCTTGTTCTTCCATTTTTAAATTGGGATAAAAACGAAACTAAATAACTAATCGATACAATTTTTTTACTAAATTAAAGGTGGAAGTCCAAACAACAAGAAAGCAATATAGGTTAAATGCTTTGAACACGATGACAAAGCAAAAAAATGTGCTAAGGCCACCTATTGACAAAATCCGCAATCACTTAGTTGCCAACCATATATTTTGGTCTACTTCATAGACTATCAGGGGTAATCAATTTACAACATATCCAGTAAGGGAGTCTTCCCAGAAATTGTCCTAACATAAAAAAAAAAACATATTTTGAAATTTTGTGATTTACTCTTTAATGACAATAGCAAGACTGAGCATTTAAGATAATAGTTGTACTAATGAGTAACAACTGTATTCAAGTGATGTTTGGACTTAAACCGAATAGGATGTATACCAAACTAACCTTTTTCATAAGTAGTAATGTAAAAATGATTAATCCGTTCTCATGTAAAAAACCCCTCTTGCTATGGTATATTAATGGGGTTGCAAAATAATTTAACCCCTTTCGCAATGTTAACAGATTTAATAATGTCTTTATTTTTCATGATTGTCAATATCCTCATTCTCAGAATATGGTATGCAACAGTTAAACCTCGAACAGGCATGCCACCTTCATATTTCTCAACAATCTCTTTTTTCAGTTCATTGTGATTCTAGTCATTTTTTTTAGTTTTCTGTTGCTTTTCATTTGCCTTTTTGCAATCCATGATTAATAAAGATAATAAAATTTTACTTACAAATTAAAATCAGAAGAAATTTAACAAAGTTATAAACCATGGCACTGCGAACGTCTAGTCTGGTCTAATACACTGATAGTGCTTGCCCTAGGGGACTGTTAGGGTCTACTCCCGATAGTCAAAATCAGCTAGGTTGTTCAATCCGATCGCATCTGCGAACAAGATTGGTGTGTGTTTAATTTTTGTTTTTCATGCAGAGGAAAAAAATCTAAATGACAATATCACGTATTTATTTACAGATTGTTATGAGCTTTCTGTATATAAGGTTGTAACTATGTCGATCGTGGAGACAGGAGAGGGAAACGGTGGCGCACTACTGGCTTGAATGCCCGAAATATGAAATAGCTCGCAGAGACCTGGGCACCGCCCTGGGGGAAAAACTAACCAATAATAGCAGACTACGGGCGATCTATGCGCCAATGAAACCGATCAATCTCTGCCACCTAGTGGCGGCGTTGGAAGAATACATAACACGAACAAGGCGATTTAAGTAGAGGAACCAAAGAGTTGGTGATTCGGAGAGAGAGCCAATATTGAGCTAAATTCTCCATATAAACACTTTAGAAGAAGAAGAAGATCGTGGAGACAGTGGTTGGAGTACATGAGATGGACGTCCTGCCCTGAGTACGTTGACCCAAAAAGTGGTCAACCTCAACCTTTGATGTCATGCTGATTAGGGATGGTGGTCAGGTGCAGTTTGCAGTGTTGCCAACCACTGCATACTACTTGTTCATAGATGGCATGTATAATTGAATTAAATCGTATACTGAGCAAAATTTGTTCCGTCCAAACAGGACATATTCCAAAGCAAGCGTATACTGAGGTACCACTGTACCTGTATAATTATGCTCATATACAGTACTACATTCTCAAAGTAACTTGACCAACTCAATGTGTTGCAGGAATTAGCATTTTTAACTGGAAATTTCAATTACAATATCCTTGGCATGCACTTGCATTTTTAATAGGTTACACCAAAGCTGTGCCAATAACCAATATATCAATTTTATATATTTGTTTCAATATTTTGTAAAAATATATTAGTTTTAGCTTGATATATTGGGTTATTGGCACAGCACTAATTGTGAGAACTGCAATAACTCTCCAAAATTTTTAATACTAGTGCAATTTTCTGATTGCTGAGGGAAATAAGTATAATAGTGTATGGACACTATAGGAAATTTTTCTCAAAAATCACCAAAAACCACTCATTTTTCGAACAATTGATACCAAATTTTCATAAGAACTCAATTTTGATACTTTGGTCTCATTTTGAACATTTTTTTAGAAACTTCCACAATCAAACAATTCTTTCCATGCATGCCACAACAGCCCACGGTCTCTAATGTTAATTGTATCCCCTTTACAAATTGTTTTTATAGGTTTAGATTTCCAGATATTTTAGATAGGGCACATCTGTTACATCTGACTTCTTATTAAAAAAGACCAGAATGTTAAGGTAGTAGTTGGGTATTTTTCTGATTGAGTCTTGACATTCTTTGATCCTGATAAGCAGAGATCTGCATGTGGCATCAATATATTCAAAGGAGCAATCTATTCTGTTGTTGTATAAAGATATTGAGTAAATGCCTAGAAGAGTAGTTTCATCCACTTGGATCTTTGCCATTCCTGAGTATGGAGAATATAATTGGGCTCCTTTTATAAGAAATTGAATTTCTATTTCTTTGTAGATCTCATTCAAGAGTTTGTTGTAGGCGACTGTTCTTTATGGCTTTGTCTCCTCAAAGCTGGAACTTAAAATACAGTAAAACTTCTCTAACTTGAAGCTCCAAGTGACAGAAAAAGATTCTATTTTCTTTAACTTCAAGTTAAAGAAAAATAGAGTGAAAAATGCCAATTCTGAATAATTTTCATTTTTTACCCCTCTTGCATTATATAAAGAATCTTTGATACTTTTTGTCTTAAACAACCTGTTTAACACATTTCATTAAAATGCTCAATATAGCTAATGGAATAAAACAGTTTTGCAGGTACTGTACATCTTGTTAAAACAGTCTCTTGCTTTGGACTGAAACATTATCTGCAAATGAATGTTTGACAGTAGATACAACTGTCTGAAAATTTCATGGAAATCTGGTAATTAGGATCACTGTATAGAATAAATATTAAAATTTGAGCAGGGAAGTTGAAGGTTTTCATGGTTCCCTGACACTGATTTGTTACTTCTGACTTGGAAAGAATTTAAGGAAATTCAATTTTGAGACATTAAATCCTATGCTATTCTACTGAGACCTACCAAGTGCTTCATTTTTATTGAGTTACAGATATTTGATTTAGAGAAGTTTTATTGTACTAGGTAATGATTCAATGGGATCAAATTTAGGAATAAAATACAGCTACATTTACTAGTGATAAGTTTAGTGAAACAAAAATCTAATGTAATATAACTTTTGTATTTATGAAAGCATTTATTGTCATTATTATTGACTAACTACATGTACATATTTCTTTATAACAGATATTATTCCTGCATAATTAAATATAAACAGAAGTCTTTATTATTTAATTCACTGTAGAAGTAATTCAAAATTTTCCTACTTTTATAATTCAATTAGTCTAAAATGATTCAAAAGGCTTTAATTTGAAATACATTCATTTGATTTCTTTCAATTATTTCAAAAAATGAAGCTTAAAAATATTTGAGAGTCTTATTTAGAATACAATAAATCATACAAACTATCTGAAGATCTACGAAAATTTTTTGAATTACCTGAGTACACTGGCCCTGAGATCCAGTTCGTCCTAGGACTTTAGTTACCTGCAATAAAATGTTTATAATTCATTTCAATATACTTTTTTAAAAATAATAATTCAAATTGTGTATGGTAAAATTAATATGCTTATACTTGCAACTGATTTAAATAAAATATTTTAGTACTGAAATTATTAAATTATTTGATAGTCATTTTTAAGTAATGTAATATAAGTCAATGATCTATCGTGTACATGTACTGTACATCATCATCAGATTATCAACTCATTGCAATAAATAATTATAAAATAAAATAGTAGTATATTTTTAGCAAAATGAAAAATATAAAATAAATTACTAGGAAATAATTCTGCTACCCTATTTTATTATTATATTTTGAGAGTTCATTTTTACAATAGGCCAGGGAATCCCAGTGGAACCCTAAAAAACTTTGTAAATATAAAAAGTTTATGTAAAACTTTTAATGTTTTTAAATATTTGTTTCCTATCAAATAAACTTACATAATTTTTAGAAGGCGTTTTTTTCTAACAGGATGTTGTCTATATTTATATATAATATTATATATTATATAATATTAAATTTTTTCTTAAAAGAGATTGATATACAAGAAAGGTTAGGAATCCCTACAATAGAGGATATTGATATATGATGCTAAAAAATCAAACATTGTGACTTTACAAGAGATTAAAATTTGGTTTAATTTCAAATTCATTTGTATAGAATTGCTAAGAGAATAAATTTATATTTCAACAGAATAAATATAATAATAAATAATATAAACAAGCAATTATTTATTGTGACATTAAAAATTGTAGCCAGGCATTGCAATAATCATATTTTTAATTTATTTAATTTAAAATATGCATTCTCTACCTCAAATTAATAGTGTCTTCCCCTGTATATCGTGCTTTTCTGTTAGCAATGGTGTCATTTCAGTTATCTATTTAACAATAGATGACTGAAACAACACCATTGCTAACACCTTTCAGGGGAAAATTTTTGAATTGAAATAATATGACTTCTGGTTTACATTGGAAGTTCTTATATAGTTAATCGGGGCCTCCTGTCCCCTAAGGTTTCCATATCTGGTCTTGTCTGTCATTTAACTCTGTTCTCAAGAGTTTTTTTTTAAAAACTCTTTCTGCCCTATGGGCATTAAAAGGGCCTCTTTTAGTAAGCCATTATGGGTTCAGTCAGGCCCACAATGGGGTGGCTGGGTGGTGAGGGATGGAGGCTGACATATCCAGCCAGACCACTCCCTGAAAAATTTCTGGGGATTTTTTTGACCCACCTGGATTCAATCCGGGCCCTTCTGTGGTAGGCTGCCACCTTGACCACTCAGCCGTCTGTTCGTGTGATTAAGAAAAGACGGATGGATAACAGTGGGAATTTACAGGTCTACAATTTTTTCAAATTGCAGCCCCATGAGTGATTTAACTTTACAAAACAGTTTCTAACTGCTGAAATATAGGATGGTTATAATCAAACTGACTCTATTCAGACCTCTCTATAGCAAGTTCCACTTATCAGATTTTGATGAAACTTGGTATATATAATACATTAGTGACCACGGGAAAGAAAGTTCTGCAATAAAAATAAAACTGCCAAATGATGATTTTCATGAAATGCAGTCCTGTTCAGTAGGCAAACCTATTAAAAAGGACTGCATTCAAAACTGGAAAATCATTCTGCATACCTTTATGTTATCATTAGTCATGACCCTACAGAAGAAAGACCAAGCTTTGCTGGTATAACTGTTTTATCAGATTGGCAGCAATGGCTTAGCTGCACTGTGAGAATATCTACATTTAAAAGGATTGTGAAAAGGGCCCATGTCAAAGAATGGTTTGAAAAACATGATTATAAAATTTGAAGAGACTTGACAGAACTTCTGGTTCACATTATTCTCAACAAGTGCTCAAGTGGTGCCAATTGAGTTGTCCATCCCTTGGCCAACAGTACAAGAAGTTCTGCAGTCCATCTTAAAATACAGTCGACCCCCTATAACACGGGTTCCTATAGTTCGGATTCCTATATCACAGCAAAAAAATTGCAACAGTATTTGAACAAACATGCTAAAAAAACCTCCTATAATTCGGTAAAACATCAATGCCAACTCATGTCACGACAGGATTGCACAAATCGTTGAGTTTAAACGAGCAGCGGACCTACCAAAAACCATTTATTATTTAACATCCATAAAAGGATTAATCTGGTTATCCGAAAAATCGATTTTCTGAACAACCCCAGTTGATTCGGATAATTGATGCTCTACTGTATTTTGTTGCCTATCCTATATGCTTGATTACAAATTTGAACATGAGAACCACTGCTCTATCAAAGTTCAGCCCAAAAGAACAGTCTTTTGCAAGAAAGCTCTCAGGAAATACACTTAGCCAAGGCAAGTGACATGTTTTGTACACATTTGCCTTCCAATGTACTACTCTGTAACAGAAACAAACTTAAGCAATGGCATCTTGAATGGTACACACTTGATAAGTAGTCCCATGATTTTTTGTTTATAATATTTTTTATATACAGTATATCGCCAAAAAAATTCTGTGGGTAAAATTATAGTTTCTTACAGGGCTGTGGAGTCGCATAAAAATCTACTAACTCCAACTCCGACTCTTCCTTACCATCCAACTCCGACTCCAACCAAGGGCAGACTTGTTACCGAAAGAAACCCGGAAATTCTGATGTCATCACGTGATTTCAGAATAAAAGATTCAATAAACAGAGTTCTAATAAAGATAAGAGCATAGAAACTTTTTATTCCAAAGCTAAAAGACTTCTCTAAGTAATATATAAATATGTATTTGATAATTTTTACTTTTCCGGCTGTTATATATAACAGAGGAAAAGTGTAGCACTCGCTCAAAAAATGACCCCTCCCAAATTTTTACATTTTTGGACTCAGGACACCTTGAAATTTCGAGATATGCAAAAGATTCGAGGTTTTTTCTATATGTGTGGATGTTAGACTGTGTGGGGGGGGGCATGATTTTGTTCAGCCTGTTTGAAGCCTAATAATTTCTGTGGTCAGAGTGGTCAGAATTGGAGTCAGATGGTTTAACACAGTTAACACAGGAGTTATTTAAGTCAAAGTGGTTGAACTAAATCATGTTCCCATATACATTCTAACATTTTAAGCAAGAACATCTTAACGGATTTTACTGTACTATCATAAAATGGCAAAAAAGCTTACTTTGAAGGTAGAGACGAGTTTTATTTTATTTTTTTTTTAAATTTTGAATGCTAATAACGAGTAAAATATTCATTAAGAGATATGAAACATGACCACTTTTATGTCTTCACTTTGTCAACCTTTAATTAAGAATCAAAATTTAATACAGTCATACCCCGACTTATGCGATTTTCAAATCTCGTCGATTCATCTTTTGTTTGAACGCCACGCAACTCTCGATTATTCACTCCCCCCACACTATTGTTCAGCTTAACGTTCGGACGTGTCGTGCGGAATCGACGCATAGCTACAATTTATTTTGTGTAATTTATTTCTGTTTGTTATATCTACAGAGACTTGAGAGTCTCTATAGATATAACAAACAGAAATGTGGCGATTTCTTGTAACTGTTAATGAACCAAAAGGCGAGATAAGATTAATGAGAACATTTATTAGCTTACATACATCTGACTTGGATTTTACACAAAAGGCATCTGCAATCGTGAACAATTGATGAAAAAAGTATACATTTATCAGATAATAAACAAAGACTCATTTTGTAATCAATTTACCTTTTGTATATACAACTGACAAGATTACCTTTCAAATGATAAACAAACTCGATCCCAAGCGGTCTTTTGATCATCGGACATACAAAAGATGGCACCTAACTTAAGCGCGGTTTACAATAACGAATATGATTAATCTTAACACTCTACTATGTCATCCAAACAAAGTAGAACTGATTCTTCTGCATCAAACAAGAAAAGAAAAACTTTATCTTTGGAATGTAAAGTTAACATTATTAAAGACTTCGATACAAAAATGAAAATTTGTGAATTGGCAAAGAAGTTTGATCTACCGGAATTGACGGTCAGAACAATTATAAAAGGTAAAGAGAAAATTCTCGAAGCTGTAAAAAATGCTCAATCTTTAAATTCAAGCATCATTCGTAAACATCACGTTATTATCGCTGAGATGGAAACAATGTTAAAATTATGGTGTGATAATCAAGTAAATGTGAAAAATTGTCCTGTTGATCAGAACACTGTGTGCTCTCAAGCTAAGCTGATTTTTGAGAGATTGAAAGAGGATGCTGGAGAGGTGGCTAAAGATGAAGAGTTTAAAGCTAGTAATGGTTGGTTCAACCGATTCAAAAGTCACTGTAATTGGCATAGCATTGCAGAAAGTGGAGAGGCGGCAAGTGCTGATAAAGAGGCTGTGTCTTACTATCCAGAGAAATTCAAAGCTATGATAGATGAAGGTGGCTATACCAGCCAAACCATATTCAACGTAGATGAGACTGGCCTGTTCTGGAAGAAGATACCTAAAAGAACTTTTATCGCGCGTGAAGAGAAAACCTTTCCAGGTTTTAAGGCCTCCAAAGATCGATTGACGGTGATGGTTGGCGCGAATGCAGCTGGTGATTGTAAGTTAAAACCTCTCTTAGTTTATCGCTCAGAAAATCCAAGAGCATTGAAAAATAAATCTAAAGCTGACTTGCCTGTGATTTGGAAGTCGAATCGTAAGGCTTGGGTGACAGCTTCCCTTTTTGAGGACTGGTTTGGTCATAACTTCATACCTGAAGTTGAATGTTATTGTTAATCTAAACAAATTTCATTTAAAGCGATGCTAATAACCGACAACGCACCAGATCATCCCCCTACAACTTTAACTAATTTTGACTCACGTGTGAAAGTTGTATTTTTGCCACCAAATACAACCAGCTTGCTTCAACCGATGGATCAGGGAGTCATCAAAACATTCAAAGCTTATTACACGAGACGATCGTTTGTATATCTGCATGAAGCTATGAGACAAAACAACGTGCTCTCTGTTAAAGACTTTTGGAAACAATTCAATGTTTTAGATGCAGTGAGAATCATTGGACAATCTTGGAATGAAGTTTCACAAAAATCTTTAAATGGCATCTGGAAAAAACTGTGTCCTTTTTTTTCACCACTGAAACTCAGGCGGAATCAGTGCCAGAGCCTGATGAAATTGGTAATGTGATTGAAGAAGTTGTCGATCTTGCCAGGCAAATAAATTTAGAAGTGGATAGTGATGACGTTCGAGAACTGCTGGATTCCCACAATCAGGAACTGACAATTGATGAGCTCATAGAAATGTGTGAGCAAGAGCAAGACATTGAAGAACTTGATTCTTTAGATCCAGTTAAATCAGAAGATCGAATGACGGTTGGAAAATTGACAGAAGGCCTCAGTGTTATTGAAAAGGGGTTACAAATTTTAGAAAATATAGACTCCAACGAAGAGCGCATTTCTTCTACAAAACGAGAAATAAAAAAATTATTAGCGTGCTACGAGGAAATTTTGTGGGAGAAAAAAAATCTTTGAGCCGTCAGACGAATTTGTTAGATTTTATGAAGCCTTCTACATCAAAATAACTTAGGTTTACGATTTTAATAATATAATTTGTTATACGTATGTATTATCTAAGATTTTATTAAACATTTTTTTTCTAAATTATTGTTTTCTTTAGTCTCCGGTCCCAATTAAAAATAATTTGTATGTATTTATATGCAAAATTATACCCCGACTTATGCGGTTATCGCTCGGTCCCACCTATCACGTAAGTCCAGGGTATGACTGTAGTATTAATGCCCCTTTATATGCAAGCTACAGTACCACATTTCATTTCTTAAACTTTACCCATTCTGAGTTATTGTTTAATATATCAGAACAGAAAATAAAGAAATTAAACAAATTAGATGCCAACACACACACGCGCACAAATTTTTCCCCTTTACTGACTTTCTTGAGGGGTTCAGGTCTCCAAATGTGTAGATTTGCAAAAAAAAAACTTGGAGGGTCAAATTTGACACAATTCCAATACTTTTCCATTTTATATACATAACAAGTTGGTAAGTAAAAAGGAGTCAGAGTTGGTGGATTTTTTGACGACTCCGACTAAAACACCAAAACTCTGACACGGATTTTTTTCTTAATTTTTGTTTTAACAGCCACATATTCAATATAAATGTCCAACACAGAATTATTTTGTGCTGACCCATATAAAAAGAGCTATAAATAGAAAAATCACAGGACTACTTATCAACTCTGCATTGTTTGGGCCACCATTGCTTAAGCTCATTTTCGTTGTGGACTGCAGATATGTACAAAATGCATCAAGTGACCCAACTTTGACATCAATTGGTCACCTGACTACATCTTGCACATTTCTGGACACATCATGTGATACAGCAATGTCATCTTATTACTAATACATGGCTACCTCTTTTGTGACTCTGAACAACCTGCAGACAACAAGTTGATAAGGGTTGCTTTAATTACAAACCTGTATATTAAATATATAGTAAAACCTTGCTATTTTGATACCAGATAGTTTGAAGTATCACATACAATGAAATTCAAAGACATTACATGGTCTGGTTACCTGCAAAAATATTGTTTAATTCAAAATCTTCTATCATATTACATATTTATATGAAAGTTTCCACTCCCTAGTGACAGTTTCGGTTTCATCAATTAAACATCGTTATACAGTGGTGCCTCGTATAACGTATTTAATCCATTCCAGGTGCACGTCCGTTAAACGAAACGCATTTTCCCATAGAAATACATGTTAAAACATATAATTTGTTCCGCGACATAGAATAATTGTATTGTACTATAAAAAAAATGAAAATGGAGCAATCACTAATTATGCCAGGTAGTCAGATAATGTGAGGAGGAGGTGGCGGAACATTTTCTTCACACATTCATACAGATATAGACTTTTTACACATTGCAGCAGGTCTCTTTTTATTGTTTTTAATCGGAGTCAGATTCAGGAGATGCTACTGGAGCTTGCAGGGTCATCTCCTCTTGTTCCATCCTTTGTTTTTTGGCAGCGTGCTTCTTAAAAAACATGTCCAAGGTGGTCTGTTTCTCTCTCTTCTTCAACACTTGTTGGAAATGACGGGTATGGGATGTTGTTGTAGAGATCATTGATCCTGTTGGCCTCAGCTCTGTTTGGATAATGATTGTTGGTAAACTCCTGAACCTCTCCCCATTGGACAAGGAAGTTTTTGTCAACTTTCACTCCTTCTGGTGATGTCTTGCTTTGTTTCAATTCAAATCATCTTTCTGTTTTTTTAGAAGCCATGATTTGCACAACACTTGAATAAATGTAAATACTCTGCACTGAGGTGATGTACGTAATAAAAAAGGGAGCAAGCCGAATCCCAACGGGAGCTCTGTACTTCAGATATACTAATAATATATTCTAATAATACTAATATATTATAAAAATAGCAGATTGTCATTGGCAACAGCAAAAGAGTGGAAACATCATTCACACTTATTCGCAGAAAGACCGTTGTTCGCCTCACGTAACTGCCAAACGGAAAGTCCGTTGTTCGCAGCGTCCGTTATACGAGGCACCACTGTATATAATATGTATATTTGTAAATTTAGATGACAAATCTTATAATTATGTATTTACTATGTATAACCATTTAATCTGAATTTTGAAGTAATTTGATAATTTCTCTTTTTTAAGGAGTTAATCCTGGAAAAAAAATCATTGTTATAAAATCTTAAGTCCAGTGAGTTTTATTACAGGATGTTGCAGTATTATAGGAACGTAACAGACGCAATGTTTATCAAAACATGGGGTTATTTGGAGATAGAAAAAATCATAGTCATGTGACAGTAATTTTTTTTGGTGGCTATATCTTGTGTAGGGTCGCTCATAGAGGTATGGTTCCTTTGACTTTTTTGTTCCTATGAGTATGCTCTACAGCTCTGTTAAGGTCCCAATCGTATCATTAGTCGAATTGAGCCGTTTTATGAACATATTGCAAAATGTTAATGGGCTTTTATCGTTTAATTAAGAACAAATGCTTTAGTAAATGTTTCGTGAATGAATGAATCATCTCAGAAGTGATTAGTGTTATATCCAACATTTAAAGTGTAAAAATCTAGACATCAATAATATAAACGTCGGAATATAGTTAATTTAATCAAAGGAAACGGACAACAATGGCGGTATGCTCGACACATTCATTACCATAATTTAAACGATTAATTTAAAATAATAAATATACTTTAAAAATTTCTTATAATTAATGTCGAATAGTGATCGAAAGCATACAAATTTTTTTCTTCCTGATTTTTGAATAATCAGGAAGAAAAATTTATTTAAGACCTTACAATTTAAGTCATATTAACTTTGTAAAAGCTACATTTACATTTTTAAAACAAGCATTTTAAATAACGAAATACTTACTCTAGCCAATTTAACCTTATCCATTTTGCGAACGCTACACGTGGAGAAAGAAACAAAATGGCACGAATGGCAAAATTTCCCAACTGACGTATTATTCAGTTACGTAAAAAATATTTCGCCCAATACTCGATAAAATATTTTTGAATTTGAAAACTACATAAAAATTTTTCTGTATTTATGTTAATACTTTCTTGAATAAAATAAAAATTCTAAAAATTAAAAGAAGTAAAATAAAAATTACGTCATAAAATTAGAATACTAAAATGTAAATATTTAGAATGCATTCTAATTTATACTACTAAATATCGTTAGACGAAGTCTTCTAATCAAATATAATAAAATCCCTGTGGAATTTTAATTTTTAAGCTTCAGAATGGAAGAAACAAGTAACAAAACCGAACATGATCTTAGCGAAGAGGAAACAGATGATAGGATAATGGAATCTTTATTAAGAGCTAAAAATTATTTCAGACAAACAAAAGTATTACGTAAACTCATCGAAGGAATAATAGAAAATGCAGTTATTCAAGCACACAACATATTAGATATTGGTCTTTGGCATGGAAACATCGAAAGAATTAATTATGATCCGGCATTATTTGAAGGGACCGATCCTTTATACAAATTATCAAAAATCGGAAATCCTTTTAATTTGACGGCAAAAATATTCAGTGTTAATCTAGGTTTAAAACTACTTGTTGAATTTTTAAAGAGATGGAATTTACCAAGAAAATTTATAAAATATATAATTTTCGATGAAAAATTTGAAGACAAATACTGTACGAGATATAAATACCGCGTCATATTTGGTATGCCGACTCTAATACAACCGATGCCACTTGAAACTGAAATTGGATTTTTCACGTTTGTTATCCTTAAATGGAAACCAGATGATTTTCCCGTTGATTTTTACTATAGATTAGAAGGAAATTACTTTGTACACCGACACGGAGGTATGGTCGATTTTTGTATCGAATGGATCGAAAATTTCCTTTTGAAGAAAGTTCAGATGAAGCAAAAAATAATTGCATATTTACAAAAGTCAGAAAAGAAAGAAACAGAAACAAATATAGATATAAATGGATAGAAATGCCATTATAATTTTATAACTTTTTAAATGTGATATACCGCATTTCACATACAATAGTACTACATTTACTGTAAAATATATTAGTTTAATTTGTAAAATAAATACAAATTAATTTACAGTACTTATTTATTTATTCATTTATTAGATGCAACAGATTTATCTTTTCTTTTATTATTAAATATAGTATTAAAATTGTTTAAATCACTGTAAAATTTCTGCTTATTAAAATTTGTTTAAAACATAAAATATGGTCAAAGGAAAGTCAGATGCAGCATCAATTCTCTGTTCACTCTACGGTTAATCAGTGGTACCTAAACTTTTTGATAGTCGAGCCAAATTGCGCGTAAATCGTACGTAGGAAGGTCACAAATATTTTATATATTCTACTTGTCCGAGAGAACTTGCGCCATTTTAAAAATTTCAAGGACTATATTCCTATTGGACGAAATAGTAAATTCTCGAAATCAGATCACTGATATTTTCTCGTAAATAGTAAATCGTGTTACGATGAGCTTTGTTAACTGCATACACAATCTGACCTAAATTTCTCATATTTAACGCCACGACGTTGTAACTAACGACACTTTCGTGAATCCGGAACAGTCATGATGGGTTTATTCTTTGTGATTTTTCAATTTGTCTGGATTCATTCACAGATCCCAACATGGTAGACTGTTCTTAACTGTTCGACCATCCAGCCGTCAAATCATTTAATTTAACTGAATTATATTTATTCAATTCTCACATGTGATAAGATTCTTTAATACATTTTGACAATGATACCAACATTTTGACGGCCAGATGGACGAGTGGTTAGGGTAGCAACCTACCACTCTGGAGAGACTCGGGATCGAAAAACCCCAGGAATTTTTCGAAAGGTGGTCCATCCGGATATGTCGGGCCCGGCCGCCCCATTATGGGCTTGCTAAAAACCCTTTTAGTATTAATTTGTTTTTAAACTGTTTCCGCCCCTACATTTCAGAGAAAAGAAAGACTCATTAAAAGAATTTAAATTATTATTTTAAATGCAGTAATAAAAAATACGTAGATATTTAAAAATCTCTTTGCTAACTAAAAATTGTAATATATTTTCGTTAGAAACATAAAATCAGTAGAGCGACATCTTGTAGCGAAAAAAGTTAACACTCTATTCAACTTATTATGGTTTGGAGCAGAGAAACTGATCAGGAGGTTTGATTAGTTAATAATATGACGAAAGTTCAGCCAAGGGATGTTTCTCCCATATTGCAGATGCTTAGGAACTTCTTGCTGGGGGTTTGTATACAATTAAAATTTTGCAGTCTGCAAATTTTAAATATATTCGTAAATGTAACAGAATATGTTTTCAAAAAGTTCAGTTTAAAGTTTGTTTTTTAAATTAAAATAATTCAAATTTTAAATAAACAAATATGTGTTATAAACAAATGTAAATATTGTTTTTTAAAAACACCATGAAATATTGATATTAGATACTGGACATTTTCACATTCACTTTATTCCCTTGTATGCTTTGCAGTCTTTAAACCAGTCTGTAAATTTACAGTTCAAAGGAGAATAAAAATCCAGTGTCTAATATCAACATTTCATGGTCTTTTTAATTAAAAAACTATCTAAAAAGGGCATGGTTTCAACACAAAGAAAAAAAAAATATAACTCTTACCATAACAGTTATATCAATCCTGTAATATATATCAGTTATAAATCAGTTACTGTAAAAATTTTATTTCGCTCAACAATTTTGCTGTTAGATTTCTTAAAATTTAAGAATGAATATTTTGTGATTTTCTTGTTATACTATTTATGTTTTGTTCTTCATATTACATATCTATACATTTTGATATTGTTATCTTGGTTTAAATGACACAAAATTATTTTTTATTTATCAAAAAGTTGGGCACGGCAGAGATAGTGGCTAAAACTACTAGATGCTGGTACGGGAAATCCTCGTTAATTCAAACTTGGATAGTTCAAAATCCTGTTAGTTTGTAGCTGTACTATTTGTCCTGGCTAGGGATATAGAGGTTTATATGTTTGGTTAGTTCAAAATAGGATTATTTTGAAATTTGAAGCGAAAATTCTGTTCAAACTATGATATATGTATATTATTAACTCATATGTTTAGATCAAAGTTCAAATGCCTCCATACTATAAGAGAATAATAGAGCATGAACAACTCTAATCTGGTCAACATGGCTTTGCTTTTACAGTAACACACAGTTAATGGGTAAGATGACACCCAAATATCCTTTTTCTCTTATCTCATAAAATATGGCATGGTTTTAGGGTTACAAGATTGGGCTGCAAGTAGCAGAATTAGATATTTGTAGGATTCTATACTACTAGATTTGGATGACTTGCTATTTTTTGGGCTACTTTAAAAATAATTTGGGTTACTTTTCAAGAATTCTGCTTTACTTTTTATAAAACTTGTCTGGCAACCTGTGAGGTTATCATCAGACATATGTCTACCTGCAGTTTATTTATAATAATAATAAAAAAGCTTATTTTTGTATGGATGCATGTATGTATGGAAAGGAAGAATTACAGTAGAAAGAATATATGTCAGTTTGTAAACGAACATGAATTAGAGGTTAATTTTCCTATTGTATATGGGCCTATTTGACACACAAACTTATTACATATACAGTAGAACTTGCAATGAGTAATATTACATCAAATATCACAAATTTGGCACTTGCATCCATTTGGAAGTAAGATCTTTAATTATTAATTAACAAAAGTAATATTTTGCATATGTAGTCATATTCTGTTTGCTTAATTAATAAATTACGTGAGTTACATAGCATTTGGCATAATGTACAGAAATAGGTAAATCTCAAAACTTGATAATTTGACGTCAGTTTGAATTATTTTGTTCCTTGAATTTCAAACTCATGACAGTTTCCTGTAGTTGGTTGTGTGTTCAGATCTGTCAAAACATCCACAGAAGTTGAAAATGAGGTAATTTAAATACTTTGGTTTTAAATTAAAATTTTGTTTACCTTTGGCTAATTTTAAAATTCTACTCACAACAGTTCTTCAGACTGGAGTGTAAGTATATAATACTAAAACACCATGCAGAACCAACAAACTCCAGTAAATAATTAGAGACACAGATTGAAAATATTAGTCCTGTTCGTGATTATTTACTGGAGTTTGTTGGTTCTGCAAGGTGTTTTATTATTTCAATTTTAAAATTTTCAAATGCATAGAATACTCCAATGTCGTTAGCTGTGTTAAAATTTACATTGAACTTTTGGAACCTCATTTGAATGTTTTGTCTGCTTGTATATGAGGAGGGTTACTGATGAGGTTGAAAATGTTTGTTTGCATCTGACCAATTGGCTGACAACATGGAATTTTTAAGGATTTTCTTCATTCTTCTAATATCTAAATAGGGGTCTGTTTTACATAGAAATTCCTCTGGAGGCCTTTCTATTGGCAGATTGCTGATGTGTTGCATTGCCAGTATCACATCAAACCAAACCAAACCAAAAAATAAGCAAAGAAATGAGAGTGATTAGACATGAAATAATGTTGACAATTTTCTTATGCTAAAGATGTCTATTTTTTTTTTTTTAATCCAGATTGATAATTTTATGTGCAGTGATAGGGATAATTATTGGAAGTTAGCAGCCTGCTAGTGTCCTGGAAATTGTGTTCTAGCATAGTCTCTGCCTTTTTCCACTTAATTAAATAATAATAATGTTAAATCATTAAAAGTTGTACATCACTGATTATTGTAATTTACTATAGTTTGAAAAATGTATACAGTGAAAACCTGTCAAAACGGGCAAAAATTTCTGGCACGGAATAGTTTATCCATAGAGTCTTCGTATAAGTTACCTGTATTAAACAACCACCTGTGTAACGCGACCGCGGGCATCGATTTTTGGTCCAAAACAACATACAACACCTGTAATAAGCGACCACTTTCGCGAATGTATCTGGTCTAAACTATTGTAAGAACCCATCTCAACAATGTTTCCGCTTCCTAATATAATGAATTAGTTTAAACTCTCGTTCGAACCCATCCTGGGCACTTCTCCCAACCTTGAAATTAGGTGCAGGTGTTAATAAATTAGTCTAGCAACAAAGGAAATTCATTTCAGTTTGTTGGAAAATGTTCGAAATGCAAAGAGCTGTCGTTAGAAAATCGTATTAAAGTTATTACAATGGCAATTAGCGGCAAAGTTTAACTGTGGGAAAACAAAATTTATTTTACCCTAGACCTACAGTATTTTCCTTGGGAGTGTAAAATATTGTACACAATACAATTAATTGGCTGATCTCATCGTTTGATAAAATCTATTTTTATTTATTTATTTTGAAGCTCATATACAGTACACGTGCGATAAATAGTTTCTGTATCAACCTACCTTATTTCCACGATATTTTTAGAAAAATAATATCCAAGTAATTTTCGCAGGCAAATTCAAAAAACAATAAACGCATTAACGCAAAAATCAGTTTTACTTCCTTTTTCGATTCCGCGATTGTAATGAAATCGTATAATGAGAAAAAATAAGTTTTATTATTAATTAATAATTTTTCTTATTGTACTTAATTAATTAAGAAAATGTTAAATATTAAAAAATACAGTATTTTTAAAGTTAAAATAAGATTAAACTAACGAAAACCAAAAGCAAAGTGATGGAGAGATAGGACGCGCTTGTATATTGATGACGTAATACACGTAACTGAGGAGTGAACAAAAAGAACCGAGTCGAATTAATTAAGTTGGAAAAAAGAAAGTGTGCATTATAATCGAGAAAATGCGAGTATTGTATTAATCTTTAAAATATTGGTGTTAAATCTGTCTTATAATATCATGATGACTCCTGTAAATCGGGTTATCCGATAAGAATAAAATACAATACCAATATAGCCCTATTGTTGAAAAAATTTGCTTATTTTTGCTAGCCTCAAGTTTTGCTTAGTAGAAATGGCTAAAAAGTGTGCAAAATACGTACGGAAATACGGTATTACAGCACCACCTGTATTGGACCACTTTTTGAAGGAACCGTGGGTGGTTGCCATAGACAGGTTTTACTGTAGTTTTGACAGTATATTCAATATATTTCTATCTAATATTGGCTAGTTAGTTAAAATAAATCTTTATTAGTTCATATCAGTGATTCTCAGTGTGTTGCACACGGCAAGAGATGGCTAATGGTTATATTTTCATAATATTTGTGGCATATTTAAAAATATGAGAAGAAACTCATTTGTACAAAGATTTGTTACATCTGTGATCAATTAATAGTTAGACTAGACCCCTCCCCTAGAGTAGCACCTATTATTATTAGTGACACTACTTATTTATAGTGTGAGGTTCCAGACGGGCCAAAATTGCAAAATTGTACTGTTTATATAAAAATTCCTGAGACAAAACAAAACAAAAGTTATTTAAGGGGGAGAGAGGAAAAAAACTGTAGTTTGAAAAATCGTGGTGCGGAGATGAATGAGGAATCTCAGGGACTTGCACATATGATAGATCATAGATAAATGTTGAGGCAGAGAGATGGAACTTTGACAAAGGCACTTATAAATTTTCAATCTAAATTAGAAAATCAGAAAGATGTGTGGATTGACAGTCAAAGGACATTGTGCTAGATCATTCGATTTCTAAAACATCAGAGAAGAGGTAATAATAGAGTAAAATATGAGCACAGGTTTCATAATTCCATCATCTCCCAGTCAGAGTTGAAGAATAGTATCAAAAACTCTTCAAGACTGTGGTCTGAACTGATCTCTGTTTTCATCTGGAGACTGGGAAAGGCCAATCGGAAAGCAAGACAAGGGAAATAGAACCAATCAAAATATGAGATGAAAGGAAGAAAAAAAACCTGAATCTCGGGTTGAGTTGAAGATTTTTGCCCATTGTTACACGCAACAAATCTGTGTTGTTTGTGCCTGAGATATACCCGCTGTCACACAACTTCAACGTCATCACCTGACTTCACCAAGTACGAAAACGATCATCTCATTGACATCTCTTCCCAGGGGTCATGGTCATCACATATCCTCAGTGCGAGAGTTAATGGACGTGCCAGATCCTGTAATACCTGTGAACTGTATTGAACTATCAACTGACTGATCAATGAACAACTTCTTGATGACGAACAGCCTGTTGATTACCTGTAAGAAATTTCTATCATAAATGGTTTTGTAAGGACATGTCATCCCCGTCAAGGTTCTTAGCTGTGGGTAGACAGCTAATGATAAATAGAATATGTTTTTTTTTTTTTACATATATTACCTTTAAAATACAA